TGGATGGAAAGGACGGGCAGGGCGGCCAGCACAGTCCTGGGCACCTCAGAGCCGCTCGGGAGGGAGCCTCAACAGCACTGGGGTCACTGCTTAGCCTCCAGACCAGGACACGACCCTGGAGCCCACAGAACTGAGTTCAAATTCAGGCTCTGCCCACACGTGACTCCGCCTGTCTGAGCCTCAGTTTCTCCCTTAAAAAAAATCCCCTCCCCTCCCCAAAATTGTCCCTGCCTCCCACAGCCGTGGGGAGTGACACAGTCCCCTAGACAGAAAGTGCCCAACCCAGAACGTGACACCCAGCAGGTCCTCAAGAGACAGGAGCTGCTGTCCCACGGCTGGCCCCGTGGGAGCCCGGACAGACCCTGGGGGCGCCTCGGCCCGCGGTGGGACAGGCCAGGACAGCCTCACTGATTCACTCCAGCTGGGGGTGGGGGTGGGGGTGCATCTGACTCCACTAAAAGCCACAATTAGAGCCCAATTTCAAGAAACGCTGGGTTAGTTCCTCCCTGGACAGATGTGATTATAGGCTCAGAGTTAGAGCGTTACTAACAGGGTGACACAGAGGCCTGGCCGGGCACGGCCGGGTGACCAGCCCAGCCCCCTTGACACATAGGGGGGAAACGAGGCCCAAAGAGCAGGGGCCGGGCTCCAGCCCACCATCAGGTGAAGGCCCCCTCTCGCTCTCTGAAAGCCCGTCCGCGGCACCTAGACCCAGAGGGACCTCGGAGGAGGCTAGGGCTCAGCTGGGGCAGCCCCGAGGGGAAAGGGGGCTGCTGGGTTGGCAAGTGGGACGCAGGCCATGGAGCCGGCCAGCTGCCCTCCCTGCCCTCTAGGGGCCTTGACCTGGCAATCAGCAGCAGCAGCAGCTGACCCCCCTCCACAGCACTTCGGGCTGGTGTCCCTGCAGAATCCTAGAGGGAGGGACCTGCCTTAGTCCCGCTTTAGGGTTGGGTAAACTGAGGCGCGGGACTGCCCAAGGTCATGCTGGGAGCCAAAGGCCCGGCTGGCCTGGGGACAGGTGTTCCCGGGGGGAGTGGCCACCCCTTCAGCAGGAGGTGTGGGTGTGGGGGAACGCTGCCCCCGGAGGCTGTGACAGGGCCACAGGCCCAGATGCCACCCCACCTGGGGAAAGCCCTGAGGTTAGTGGACCACAGGATAAAGGTACAAATCTCACCTCCCCGACTCTGATCCCCAACTTTCTGGGCCTCCGGAGTCCCCCTGGCTTGTCCAAATGCACCAGCTCTGAGCTGCGCCTCCTTGGCTGTCCCTCCTGCGCGGTGCCAGCCATCCCTCCAGAAGCCAAGGCCACCCTGCCCTAGGTCCCCCTCCGTCTGCACCGTGGTCCAGCCAGCACTCCCACATGAGACTGGGGAGAGGACAGAGGAGGAGGGGCCCTCCCCGACCCCGTCCTTTTCCTCCCCTCTGTAGCTCCCTTTGGGGAGCCCCTGGGGTGGAGGCAGTGCAGGCCCCCGCTGGCCCCCAGGAGCTTGGGAGTGGGGTTCTACAGCCTCATGCTGGCCAGGTGCCCCCCCAAGCCCAGGGGACGGGACGGGCTGGAGGCTTTTTATTTATTCAATAAACACTAAGGAAGCTCCTACTGTGCGCCACCCCAAGCGCCCAGCAGAGCGCATAGACCCTCCCTTCTGCTGCCTATGACTTTGCTGAGAAGGAGACTGTGTTTGGGTGCCATGTACCCCTCACCTTGTTCCTAAGGACCCTCCCCACTCCTAGAAAATTGAGCTCCCTGTGGGCAGGACCTGTGCCTCCCCCCTCAGACTAGGATTTTCCCAGGGCCTGGAGTGTCCCCCCATCAGACTGGCCTATGGAACTCACTGTCCCTGAGAAGCCTCCCCTCACTCCTAGAGCCTCGCTGGACTGGGGTGCCAGATAAAACACAGGACGCCCAGTTCAATTTGAATGTCAAATAAACATTTTTTACTATAAGTATGTCTCAAATATTGCATGAGGTATACTTAAAACTAAAAACGATTCCTTGTTTATCTGACATTCAGATTGAACTGGGCACCTTGTGTCTGTGTGTAGCGCCTGGCAGCCCAACCTCTGGAGCTATTTCTCCTGCTGGCTGGCACCTGGCCTGGCCAGATGGCCCAGGTCGTGCCTGGACTTGGCCCCTGCCTGCCCGGTGATAGCTACTGTCGGCCCCAGGATGGCCGCCCTCCCCATGGGCCCCACCTGCAGCCCTCGCCCCCGTGGACACCACCCCCACACCTGGTCTGGCCTGCACCGCCCAGCTTACAGCCCCTCAGGAATGCTGTGTCCAGCCTCCTGGGGCCCAGAGGGAGGTGCAGAGTCACAGCTGCCGGGGAGACACCACAAGCATCAGAGACAGAGAGGGGCAGAGACACTGAATAAAGGGATGCAGAGACCAGGAAATGCAGATGGGGGAGAGGCCAAGACAGAGACAGGGAAGGGCCCTGAAGAGCCACCAGGCAAACCCTGGTGGACTGAGGCAGAAGGGAGCCTGGACCCCTGGAGCCCAACAGCTTGGGGGCTCCGGCACGGGTAGGCAGAAGGGGGAGCCCATTCCGAGCCCCTCCCAGGGGCACACACAGGGACATTCATGGCTTCCCAGAAGGGCCCATGGGGCAGCCAGAGTGGCTTTTAAAATTAGCCTTGCTAACCAGATTTGGTTATTTCAGGAGGCTCCGTCCTGGGCTGTCCCCTTGGTAGGGCAGGCACAGGAAGGAGGGAGGGACCTCAACATTCCAGGGTCCCTGGCTGAGCACCCCCTGTGGCCTGAGCAGTAGAGAACGTCCAGGTCCCATTCCCCTGGCACTAGGCCAGCCTGGGCCTGTGGCAAAGTGCCCTGGGGTTGGACGTGGACGTCCAGGGGTGCCCTAGCTGCAGGGTAGGGGGTACCCTTGGGTTCTGTGCCAGGCAAAGAGCCCTAGCAGTTTGACAGCCTGTTTGCGCAGCAGGTAGGGCCTTGACCTGGGCCGCAGGTGAGAAACAGACTTGGAGAAACAGGAGGCCCAGCTGAGCTGCGGAGATGGGGCCCGTCAGGCCCGCAGGTGCCCCCCGCTGTCTCCCTATGGGAGAGCCCCCACCCCCCGGCCTCTGGAGGACTTTCCACCACAGGGTTGTTTCTCCACTTCCCGGAGCCCAGCGCCCCCCGCCCAAGCCCTAATTCCAGCCTCGGGTCAGTGTCCTGGCTCGCCCTCCCCACCTCCGAGCCCAGGGCGGGCGCAGAGCTGGCACCAGCACAAGAGAAACAGTGCCGGACACTTTGATCCCAGAGGCCAGGACCGTCCTCAGCCTCCCCCGGCCCCACCTTGGAGCCCTGGGGGTGGGGCCTGGACTGGACCCTGGCCTAGAGGCCCTCCCTTTCTGCAGACAGGGTCTGGCACAGCCGGGGAGGGAGGGGGCCTGGGCAGGTGGCCAAGCTCCCCACCTGCTCTGCCGCAACGGGCCCCAGCTGCTCCATCTCAGCCTGGGGAGGGCTGCACGGCTGAGTGAAAGGTGCTTAAGGATGTCGCCCCAATGAGGCCGGGACGCCAGGCTCAGGGAAGTACCTGGTGGCTGTCCTTCCCAAAGCCAGGCTGGGCTGGGCTCTGCCCAGTTACCACTTGGAAGGTCAGCTGATCACCCCGTTGAGGGCCACTACCCACCCCGTGAGCGAAGCAATACGGTGAGGTCACAACTGTTCACACCCAGGGCTGGGGTGCAGCACTGGAGGACTCTCAGCATCCTTGCGGTCCAGATGAGGAGACTGAGGAGATGGAGGCGCAGCCGAGCCCTGCGGAGCCAGGGCGCCAGGGGGCTCCCGGAGATGCCTGGAGGCTGCTGTGGGAGGGGGCAGGTCCCAGGGGACCACCAAGCCCAGAGCAGCCTGGGGCCACACCAGCTGAGTGGGGTTGGGGTTGGGTGTGAGTCACAGCCCCAGGGTGGTCTGAGGCTCCAGGGTCGTGGTAGGGTCCTGTCAGGAAAGGATGGCACTCCCCAGAGAGCCCCCAGGGTGCCCTCAGCACTCTCATCCTGGGGAGGAGATGGGAGCAGGGGAGGGGGCTGCCAAGCTGTCAGGGAGGCCCAGCGGCTGACCTCACCTGGCTCCACTCAGTGCCCCCCCCAGGCCAATGCCTCTCAGGCCACCCTGAAACCTGCTCTTGCATCCGACCCCAGGGGAGACCCTCGCCCGCCCCGCCCCGCCCCACCCCTACGCTGCACCCCTGGAGCCACACCAGGATCTTGACAGACCTCATACCTCCTAGCACCTTCCAGCCTGCCCACTGTGCTCCTGGCCACCCCTGTCCCCAACAGCCTCCTTGCCCTCTCCTCCCTCCTCTGACCTGCCCAGACTCCAGCGGCACCCACTGCCAAGTTCTAGGGCTCCTGGTTGCCCTGGGCATACAGCCCTGGTTCCTGGCCTGGCATTCAAGGCCACGCAGCCTCTGGCCTCATCCCTGCCCATCTGCCTGTCCCCTCCATCACCAATTCCCAATTCCAGGTGCCACTGCCCTCAGGCTCACACATGCAGCTCCCTCCCCACCCCCACTCTCCCACGCCTCCCTCCCCGCCCTCCCTTTCTTCTGTGAGCACCTGCCTCAGGGACTGACCCACTCATCCCCCTCCCGCCCAGCCCGCCGGGTTAGCTATCCCTTGGTGCCCCCTGGTGGCCACAGAAGGGAAGTTCTTGGGATTTCCTGAGCCGGGAAAGGAGCGATCTTTAACTGAGCCCTTGCTGTGTGCCTGGCGTTTGTGTGCACCAGCTCACTGAATCCTCATAACCAGCCCTGGCCGGGAGAGCGTCCTGCTGCTTCTATGATATGGAAGTAAAAAGAAGCTGGTGGTCACAGACCCTCTGGTTTGGCCTTGGAGGGGTGCCCGGACCCAGCAGCTCTGCTGGAGACAGGTCTGCCCCTTCTACCTTGGAAACACTGGACATCTGCTTTGCTGTTGGCCTGGCGGGGTCACACAAAGCCAGGCCCAACTCCAGGTACAATAGCGATAAATAGAATTTATTTTGTACAATGTCACTGACATACACACAGCCACTGGGGCTTCCAAAGTGGGTGGTGGGCCGGAGGCTGGCCTTTGGCGTGGCACCTAAAAGTGTGGACAGACACACGAGGACAGGGACTCACAGCAGCTGTGCCTGGCTGACCCCTCCACAGCAGTGGGCGGGGGGTGGCAAGGCCCGCAGCTCCAGGCCAGCTGAGACCCCTCAGCCTTGGGTGCTCAGGAGCGCAGGACAGCAGGGGTTAAGCTGGGCTGGAGGAGCCAGGTGCCCCCCCACAAGGGGTCACTTTTCTGTCACGTGTAGGCAGTGGACAGGGCACAGCAGATCTGTGCCAGGCTGAGGCTCCAGGAGGGGTAATGAGCACAGCCACCTCCCTGCCATTAGCCCACCTGGGGCCTCAGGGACCCCAAGAAGCAGATTAGTGTGATGGGAGGTTCTGGGGGACACATTCCCCCTTCTGGTGCAGGTGGTGGAACCAGTCTTCAGTGACCTCTGAAATAATCGTGTCCAGTTGTAGCAGATGCCCAGAGAAGGTGAGTGACTTGCGCAGTGTCACACAGCCAAACCCCAATCAGAAGCCAGGACGCCCAGCCCAGTGCCCACTCCACACGTCTCGTGTCTTGCCGCCTACCTGGTAGGCTCTGTGTGCACTGACCTCTCCCAATCTGCCTCTCCCACCCTGCCCCCCTAAGTCCAGGGGGGCACCCAGGGGTGACAGAGACCCAGGGGGGAGGCTAGCTAGACCTGCAGTCCTGCTTCACTGACCAATCCCTGGCCAAGCCCAGACCTCCAGCCTGGGGGACAGGGTGGTGCCAGCAGCTTCCCCACCCAGGTCTGGATGGCTCCGCCCTGCAGAGACAGCCCAGGGGGGTGGGCCAAGGGGAGGGCTGGGAGGCCGGGCAGCTCCAGGGCCGGCGGCCTTGAGGGCAGAGGTCCCAGCTGCCTGGCTTGACACAGAATCTTCACCTTGTGCTTCTGTGGCCTCATCTGCAGGGAAAAAGGGGGCAGCGACATCATGATGCGGAGCCCCAGGCTCTGGGTCCCTACCCCACCCAGCCCTGCCCAGCTCCTTCCGGCTCCACCAGTTCCTCCAACACCTCTCTGGGGGAGGCCGGGGGCCTACAAACCCACCACAGAGGTAGGGAAACTGAGGCAGAGGAGCCAGCCCGGGGCGGCGTCCCCACTGGGGACAGCTGGCTCTCACAGAGACACCTTCCCCTCCCTCCAGGCAGGAGCTGCTGACCTGCTTAGCTGCACCTTCCGGGCGGGCGGCTAACAGCCCTGCACACAAGGTGGCCACGGAGAGAGGTGGCAGCACAGACGGAGTCGAGGGGCAGGAGACACAGGAAGCAGAGTCACTGGCTGTGCCCAGGCTCATGGGCCCAAGCCCTCCTGGCCTCTGGGTCCCCTGAGAACCCCACCCCAACTAGTCCCCCAGGGTGGGCCTCCTACCAGCTGCGGCAGGTGCTGCTCAGACGTTTCCAGCTGGATCTTGATCTCGGGACATGCAGGGTCCCCCGACTTGCCGGCGTCTGGGTGGGGTGACCGTGAGGGGCCTGGGGAGGGGGGCAGGAGGGAGCCACCTCACTGGCCGCGGGGAGGCACCAGGGAGACGGGGCATGGATGGGCGGTCGGCACCGGTGCTGCCCAACACCGCCAAGTCCCTCCCTGAGAGACCCCCGCCCCTAATCCACCCCCCACTGTCCTCGGAGGCTGATCCAGGAAGCTACCAGCCCTCCAATCTGTGTGGGGATAGTCACATACCCACCACCTGGGGCGTGGGAATGCACCCACCCTCTGTTCCCCACCCCCCACCCGAGTGGCCCTGCCCGGGGGAGCTGCCCGGCCTGGTACCTGGGGAGCTGCCCCCGCTGGTTGTACTGACGCTGTCCTCCAGCCACGTGCTGTAGAGGAACGAGTCCCGCTTGTGGGGTGTCCCTGAGGACGAGACGCTGTCCTGGGGACAAAGGGAGGAAGGTCAGCCCCATGGGCAAGAGTGACAGGGAACTGGGGCAGGGGCAGCAATGTCGGCCCCTGGGAAGCCACGGGCCAGGCCTGGGCCGCCCTCCCCACGCACGGACTTCTCCACCAGGCCACGGCACGAAGCAGGAAGCAGCCGGTCCTGGGGGCCTGAGGTCTAGGAGGCACGCCAGGCCCACGGGACCCCACAGGGGACCCCGGACTGCCTGGCTCCCCGCAGCACCTGGAGCAGGGCCAGCAAGGCACAGGTGGCCGCTAAAGGGGGGCTGGAGCGGGTGGGGGCAGCCCAGGGGCTGTGAGGCCGGGGCTGCAGCCACGGGGCCCTGGGAGGGAACAGGGTGCTGGGAGGAGGCCCCCGGGCGGGGACGGGCGAGTCAGCAGGGCCTGGCGGGAAGAGGCTCCAGGGAGAAGTGGCAGGGCACCGGCTGGCAGTGGCCCGCCCGGCCCGCGTGGGGGCTGCGGGGCAGCCTGGAAGGCGTGAGGTGGTGAGAGAGAGGGGCAGGAGGCCAGGCCACCAACCGCGCAGGCGGGGCTCCCGGGCGGCACTGGGCGGCCAGCCCTGCCCTGCTGAGCTAGGTCCCCGGACCACGTCTCGGCCACGGCCGGCTCATGCTTCTGCCCAGAGCATCTCCAGGGTCCCCCTCCTGTCCCCCCCCCATGGCGGCAGAGCACCCACCCCCAGGGCGTCTCACCAGGCCCGTGTCCTCCCCGTCCACGCCCTCCGTCTCCTCCACCACGCTGGCGAAGCTGCTGGCGCTGGACGAGGAGCGGGAGAAGTCCTTCAGAGCGTCTGCTCTCTGGGCTGTGGTCTCCGCCCTGGCACAGAAGCCCCCATGAGCCACACCCACCGGAGCAGGCCGGTCACGGTCACTACGGCACAGGGAGGCCCCGCCCGGAGCCGGCCACGTGCCTCAGTGGCCTCCGAGAGAGCTCCTGGGCCCCCGGGCCTCCCAGTGCAGCCCCCAACTGTCCTTCCTAGTGCATGGAGCTGACCAGGTCCCCCCTGCCCCACGTCAGTCTCGTGGCTCACCAGTGTCCCCAGACAGCCCCACGCCTGGACTTGGTGTTCGATGGCAGTAGTGACTAACTGTCACACGGCCACACTCAGCATGCTCACAGGGCAGGTGTGGACCAGCACGGTCACCCAAGCTCCCTCAGCTAGACCCATCTCCAGATGAGGAGAGGCCCTGGGGGGGGGGGGGGGGTGGCTGGGGACAGCGACCTGGGCCCAGGCAACCACGGCCTACTCCCCGACCCTCGCTGCCTGGTTTCAGGCTCAGGGCCCTGGGTCTCCGGCCTGGAGTCTCACTCCTTTGCTCAGACCCCAGAGAATCTGACTCCCAGACATCAGCCTCTCTGGCCTGGCTCGCCTGGTCTGGCTCCTGCCGCTCCTCTTGAGCCAGCAGAACCCAGCCCAGAGGGACTCAGCCTGGGCACACAGAGGCAGCAGCCCCCTCTGGCCTCCCTGCTCCCAGGCCTGTCCCACCAGCCCCTTCTCCAGACAGCACCAAGGACGGGGCTCTCTCACGAGAATCGTCTAAAGGCTTCTATTCCTCTCGGGACCAGATTCAAAGCTCTCACAGGCTTATCCCTCTGCCCCCTTTCCTGTCACCCAGCACAGCCCCTCTCTTACTTGGCTCTAGCTGCATACTACCCTTCCTTGCGGTATCCAGCATGCCTCAGGGCCTTTGCACTTGCTGGGCTCCTCGCTGGAGACCCTCTTCTCTCTGTCAGGCTGGCCAGACCTAGCAAGGCAGACTCCTCGCTCCGCTCTCAATTCAGATGCCACCCCTTGGAGAGGTCTCCCCTGGAGACCCACTGAGAACACTACGACCCCAGCCATGATGGAGACCACACCCCCTGACTGTGCTGTCTGGAACGGCTTGTTACCTATGTGACAGGACCAGTACCTTGCCGAGGTGGGGGCTGGCGTGCACAGGGTGCTCAGTGGGTGTGTCAGAGGGTGCCCAGGCCTCCCTGATGCCTCGTGGCAGTGTCAGGGCTCCTGGGCAGCCCAAGTCCCAGGATGTGAAAGGGCCGCTCCCAAGCCCCGGCTTGGCGGCTAGAGCCCAACCTGTTCTTGGTGGTGGGCATCTCCGGGGAGCTCTGGGTGGACGAGTTCTCCGACTTGGGCTCCTGGGAGACGTGCCCGCTGTCCGGGGTCTTCTGGCCAGCCGGAGGGCTCTCCCTGCGGGGCACACGGGGGCAGCGGGGGGGTTCAGCGCCAGGCCTGGCATTGGGGTAGAATGAGGCCCAGGCGGTGAGGGGGGGTCAGAGCACCTCCTGCCTTCACCCACCCGCCTTCCAGGGCCACGTCATCCCGCGCACACCCTGGCCAGCCATGGGGAAGGCACCAGTGCAGCGCCACACAACAGGACATCTCCCAAGTTCTCCTCTACATGGGAGGGAGCATCATGGTCCCCATGACAGACAGGGAAACTGGGCCTGAGACAGGGAAAGGGACCTGCCCAGACTCAGCCAGCTCGAACCTGGCAGTGCCACACCTGAACCTGGGATTCATGGCATTCTGAACGTTGGTGGCAGTGAGGACAGGGTTGGCTCCATTCTTGGAATGCTCTTGGTGCCCCTAACCCCCCCCGCACAGGCACAGCGTGGAACCCTCACAGCAGCCCCCTGCTATTGGCTATTTTCTTATCCCAGTTTTTCAGATTAGAATAATGAAGTTCAGAGAAGTACAGTGACTTGCCCTAGGTCACACAGCCCCGGTATGGTGGAAACAGGTTCATACCAGAAACGATTCTCTGCTTTCCTGGGGCAGCTCTGCTGCTAACAAGGGTTTGCGGCCTACACGGCCCACAGGCATGCACCAGGCCCCACCCACCCCATGCCTGCCCAGACCAGCACCCGCCCCTCTCACACCTAGGCAGCAATGGAAAACCCGGGTGCTGGTCCCAGACAGGGCTCAATCCCAGCTGCCCTGGGCTGGCCCTGTGACCTGGGAGAGCCCCTTGACCCTCCGACCTACAGCCTCCTGATCTGCAGGGCGCGGGCCTCCAGGGAGCCTGTATGCTGCCGAGGTCTCAGAGGCACTTCCCGTGGCACCTGTTTGCCACTGGGCAGGGGTCAGAGCAGCTCAGGTCAGGGCGGTCCTGCCGCCACCCACCTCTTCTCCTGCACCTCCTGGATGTTCTCGATCCCGATGGCGCTGCTGCGGCGGGAGCCAAACGGGCCCGACTTCTTCCTTGTGGGGCTCTTCCCAGGGACAATCAGTGACTGTGGGGAGAGGCCCCAACTCAGCGCCCACCTGCCCTGGGAGCCCCAGGGCCCCCCACTTCCCCCTGGGCCCTGCCGCCCACCCCCGCCCCCCTGAAGCAGAGGTAATGAGCGAAAAAGGAGAGAAGACGTGCGTTCGGAGGCAGCCCCTAGTTCAGACAGGAAAACAGGCCCAGAGAGGGCCAGGGCCTCTCTGCGTCCACACAGCAGGGATCTTGGTCCAGGAGAAGGGCAGGGACCTGAGGGGCTGGGGCAGCCATGCTGGGCGGGGAGGGGAGGAGACCAAGTCATCAGAATGGCCACCGTCCTGCTCCCTGGGCTTCATGGGACCTATAGCTCGAGGACAGGTGGTGACTGTGAGGTAGCAACCCCTGCCCCGGGCCAACCCTGCCCCCCTGCCCCCCAGAGAGGCTCTGGCCCAGCAGTTGAAAGACCCCATCTGCACACACCACGGGGCAGGCAGGAGGTGGCCCTGAGGCGCGGAGGGCGGGACCCCCCAGGGCAGTTGGTGGTGGAGAGGGTCGGGGCGGGGGAGGAGCGGCACTCCATGCAGAACCAGCGATATTGGGGGACGTGCATCTGGCAGAGGGGCCTGGGCACCAGACCCCGGCAGGGACTGGGCAGAGCCAGGGGCCCCTGGAAAGGGCCCCTGGCTCTGGCCCAGGTGCCAGCCCCCAGAGAGGTGTTGAGTGCCCTCGGCGCAGCTGGCACCCCGTCCCGCACGCCCTTGGGCCTGTCCCGGGGAAAGAGGGCAACGTCCCCAATATGGCCTCCGTCCCGAGAGTGAGCAGTGGACAGCGCGTGCAGGCAGCCTCCAGAGCCGCGGCCCGCGGGCGACAACCTCCTCCACGGTTCCTATGCCTATGGCACTGCCCCGGCGTCCGAATCTACTCGCGCTTTTCCCAGGAATAAGCAATGACTGGCAAGCAGCAGAGGGCGAGGGACAGAGACGGCGAGGGAGGGGACAGAGAGCAAAGAGGAGAGCGAGGTGGGAGACGGAGGAGACAGAAAGAGATGGGGCCCAGGGGAGGGGGCAGAGCAGCAGGACAGAGATGGCCCAGGGAGCGAAGGGCAGAGACCGATGGGAAAAGGCAGGGTGAGGGGAGAGGGAAGGCGCGAGGAGTGGGCAAGGGAGGGGAGAGGAGCAAACGACGGGCAAGAGAAGGAAGAGGCAGGGAGGCAGGGAGGCCGAGGGAGGCCGAGGGAACAGGAAGGAGGGGAGACGAGAGAAAAAACAGAGACAAGAAAGTGGAGGGAGAGGAAGTAACATGAAGAGAAGAGAGTTGTGCAAAAACAAAAACAGAAATGGGTCTGGTTACTGCCATGGTGGGTGCCGCTGGCCTGTCCCTGTCCCCGGGGTCCCTCGGAGGCCACCCACAGGAGGCTGGGGCACTCCAATAGGGAGGAAGGGAGTGGCTGGAGAACCCGGGTTGGGGGAGGTTGGGCCATTTCCTCGGATGACAGTGGTGAGCTTGGTGACTCTTGGGTAGCAGAGGCCTTACCTAGCTCCCCAGCTAGATCAGCCCACAGGGCAGGTGCGGGTGGGCCCTGCCACACAACAGCCTCGAAGCACTGAGCACAGGGCTTGGCATGCAGAAGACAGGGGCAGGTGATGGCTGATGGAGGGATGGTGGGTGAACAGACAGGTGGGTGGGCAGGTGGATATGTGGGCAGGTGGGTGGATGGGTGGGTAGATGAATGGGCAAAGGAGTGAGTGGATGGATAGGTAGGTAGAGGAGTGAACTGGTGGGTGGGTGAATGGGTGCGTGGACAGACATGTAGACAGGTGGGTAGATGAGTGGTGGATGGATGGGTGGTGAATAGATGGGTGGATGGGTATGTAGACAGGTGGATGGGTGGATGGGTAGATGGATGGATGGATGGGTTGATGGATGGGTGGGTTAACAGGTGGAGGGGTGGATGGATGGATGGATGGAGTGTGAGAGCAGTGAGTGCAGTGTCCCGGGAGGCCAGGAGGTGGCGCAAAGCAGCTAGGCCCCCACGCAGACAAGTTTCTCCTGCCCGCCCGGCACTCCCCGGAGTGAGGGCCAGCTCTCACAGGGTCTGGCAGACAGTCAGGAGGGGCTCACGCAGGAGGTGTCCACACAGAAGTCCAGTTCCTGACACACAATAGGTAGCCACAGCCACAGAGGCCCAGGCTGCTGCAGACACACAGTAGGAGGTGCCACAGAGGAAATGCCCACATAGCAGCCGGCTTCCTGACACACAGTAGGTGTTCACTGATATCCCAGGCTCTGTACACATCATATGCTCACACAACAGCCCAGGTCCTGACACACAATAGGTGCTCACACACCAGCCCAGGGCTGGCCACACAAACTCAGGACCAGGCCCACATGGGTGCTCACAGAGTGCATGTCTACACAGCAACGCAGGTCCTGACACACAGTGGGTGCCCACAGCCTGACACACATTAGGTACTCCCAGAAACCCCAGGCTGTACAGTAGGTGCCCACACAGCAGCCCAGTTCCCAGCACACACAGACAGTAGGTACTCAATAAGGATGGGACACAGAGACTGCCCAGGAGCTGACCCGCAGAAAGTCACATCTAAATAAAGGGCCAAAGAGCTGGGGAAGGGGCTGCAGGCTCTCAGCACCCGGGTCCTGGCAGGAGCACTTGACCCCCGTGGAAAGCAGTGGTTAGACCAAGTCCAGAGCCCAGGGTGGGCATGTGGACAGCAAGGCCATGGAGCGAGGTGGGCCAGGTTTCAGGAGGTGGGGGCACTGAGGGCCCTGGGAGGGGCAGGGGAGGGTGGGGACACTCACTATTCCAGCAGCCTTGGCCAGGTCAGGGTTGTTGGGTGCAAAGCTTCCACTGTGGCTGGTGGACACGGTGTTAGGCTTCTTGTTGCTTAGTCCCATGGCATCCATGGACTGGCTCCGGCTCCGGATGACCCGCTATGAAGGTGAGAGTAGGTGTGGAGGAGGCATAGGGGAGGCCCAGGCATCTAATCCCTCCCTATTAATACCACCCTGGTGACCCTAGGAAGTCCCATCCCATCTCCTTGTGAGTTCTAGGTGTCCTTATATGCCACCCAAGAGGCAGGTACGCATAGTGCATAAGAGTAGTTTGGGCCTGGCTCTGTCACCAGCTTGCTGGGCAGCCTTGGGCATGTCACACTACCTCTCTGAGCCGCACAGGCTGCTGTGTGCTGGGTCTCAGGCAGTTGTAGGAACAGGAGAAGATGCTGAGTCATGATGAAATGTGCACAGAACCCTCCAGAAACCTGTTTCTTGCCCTTTTTTTTGGGGGGGTGGTGTCTCTGAGATCTCCTTTCTCCTTCCTTCCTCCCTCCCTTCTTGTGTGCTCCCTGGGGGACCAGGTGCTTTACATTCACCCTGCTGCTCAGTCCCCCCACAGGGTGTTGATCCTCATGCCCACTTTACAGGTGATGAGATAGGAAGAGGTGAGCTAGAACCCATCTGTCAAATCCTATGCCCTTGACTGTGGACTCCGCTACCTCTGAGAAATTCCCTGACCTAATCTAGGTCTGGCACCTTCCTGATGTGAGACCACTGGAATCCTTCTCAAAGAAACCACTCCAAACCCAAGTTCACCCCCCTGTTTCCTGCCTCCAGCAGGCAGAGGCAGGGCGGCTCCTTCTGGGTCACTGGGCTATCCCTGTATACAAACCCACAGCCTTGTGGCCTGCCCTAGGGTAAGGGTACAGCTCAACTACCTGGCTGGGCACCCAGAGGAGAGACAGTCCTCTGTGGATGGAGGAGATGGTAGCAAAGAGGCCACTGCCTAGGTCCCTGCTGCCCAAGCCCCTCCAGGGGTGAGAGAACCTCCTCTGCTTCTCACTTGGACACTCATGCTGAGGCAGAGGAGCAGTCTTGCATTTTGCTTTTTAACTTATATTGTGCTAACCTGACTGCCTTATAAGTAGCTACAAGTGGTCTGAGGTGGTTTCCCATTACCCAAGTCCACGGATAAAGAAGCTGAGGCTCAGAAAATGCCTGTGCTGGTAAGGGGCAGAGCTGGGTCTGACCCCTGGGAACCTGTTCTCTCAACATTGAACCAAACCACGGGTAGCCACCGTAGGTCCCACGGGTCAGGTCCCTCTTCAACAGTTACATGGCTTACAAACCCCTCCTAGGACCTCTATTTCTTCCCCTGGGTCAAGACAGAGGTCTCTTCTCTGCTGGCAGACCCTGGCAGCCACAGCCCAGGACACCAGCAGCACCACTCTGCCACCCCAGGGACTTCGACCTTCAGCTGACTTCCCAGAGGTACTCTGCCCCCAAGCCTCAGCCTCACCTCCGGCCACTACCTCCTCCCCTAATCACTGTCCCCGCTTACACTCTTCCCCCAGCCTGGTACTACCCAAGGCACAGGTCCCTCCCAGCTCACCCAGACGGGAGGCACCCCGGCCCCGCCCCCAACGGGGAGCCCGCCTCTAGCCCCGCCCCCAGCCCCGCCCACGCCCAGCTAGCTGCTTCTAGCCACGCCCCACGCCGGCCTTCGCCCCGCCCCGACTCCGCCCCAGTCCCGCCCTGCGCCGGCTCCCGCTGGGGCCATCCGGACCCTCCACCTTGAAAGACTCGAAGAAGCCGCCCCCGCCGCCGCCGTTCTCCATCTTGTCCTCGTCGCCGCCCAGGCCCATCATGGACTGGCTGTGGATGTGCAGCTCCTCGTAGAGCGTCTCTAGCAGGGCGGCGCGCGTCCGCTCCTGCGGGCCAGCATCGGGAGAGCCCCGGTGACCCGCCCGTCCTCCCAGAGTTCCAATCCTGGTCCCCTCCCGAGCGCCGGCCACCTTCTCAGAGTGAGGGGGTGCGGGGGGGGGGGGGGGGGGGGGGCGGTCCTGGACCCCGGAGCCGCGCCGGCTCCCTCCTTCCCTCCACAGGTCAGGCAGCCCCCAGGACCCTCCCGTCCTGGCCCCCTCTTCTCTGCCCACCTGGGGCCCCCGGACATGGCCCTCCTGCTTCCTCCCACCCAGGTAGCCCCCAGGGCCAGGGTCTGAAGGAGCCTTTTCCCTCCCTGGAGCCGGCTGAGATTCTAGACTAGGCAAGGGAAGAAGGGGCTCAGCCCCCAAAGCCCATCCTCACCTCCAGTTTGGCAAACTTCTCAGCCTTGTAGCACGCGTATTCAGCATTGATCAGCTTCGTCAGCAAAAATTCCTGGAACTCAGGCCCCTGGGAGCCCCCAGTGCCGAGGAGATGGGAAGGGGGTGGGGTGGTAAATGAACGGGAAGGGCCTGCTGAGCCCTGTGAGGCAGGGGCTGCAGCTCCTGCGCTGTGCCTGGCCTGGGTCACCCTGGGCACTCCTAGAAGGGCATCTCCTTGGCTCAGCCCCCAGCCCAGGCACTAAGGGTCATCCACCCCCTCGGGAGAGCAACCTCCACAGGTTTTAGGGCCTGGGGAAACCTGGGGATGAAGCCAAGGCCTGCAGTGTGGCTTCTGAAAGATCATAGAGACATGTGCCCTCTTCCCAAATATTTTAGAGGAAAGATTGAACTTTCAGAAAGAATAAGACTGAGGAAAGGCCAAGGTCTGCTATGAAAAAATGGCAGTCATGTCATTTACTCCATGACCTTCGGGGAAAAAAAGACCCAATTCTTATCAAGATCAAGAGAAAAGCCAGATCCCAGGTGCAGGGTTAGGGTGCCCCAGCTGTCATGGCTTCAGAACCTCATGAGGCAGAACCTGGGCCTCCCAAGACCCTCCCCTTTAGTCCTGCTCTGCACACCACAGGGCTGGGGCAGTCTCTCTCACCTTCCTAAACACCGCAGGGTCCGGAAGCGGGGGCCCAAAGAAGGGCACATCATCCCTTGCAGTGACCGAGACCTGAAAGAGAAGGGGCAGTTGTCCTTGTGGAGTTGGGTGGCCTGTTCCACCCTACACCAGCCAGAAGTCCCTCATTCCCTTCCCCTCCTGCCCCTGGGTGCAGGAGGCTTTGATTGCTGGGTGGAGAATCCTCTTGGCATTTCAGCTCCTCCATCCTTTGCCCTGAATTTGAGGGGTGGGGCTGGTCAGGGGACCTCAGATCATTGGGAGGAGGCTAAAGGAGGCAGAGGGCTTGGCAGCAGGCAGGAGGTGGGGGAGGGAGGAGTCTCTCTGAGGAGTGAAGGGTGTGGGGGGGTCCTCCCTGGCCACTGCTGCAGTGGGAAGGACCGAGACAGGTGTGCTGGGGGGCTGAGCTGTGGCAGGGCCCTTGCTAGTGCCCCTGGAGAACTCTGAGACCACCCACCTTATAGAGCGGACCATCAGGGCCCCCACCCTCAGCCTGCACCACCACATAGGCATGCAGGAAGTTGGATGCGATCATGTCGGGCACGAAGGGCGTGTTCTCATCCTGGAAGACCACAGCGACGATGTCGTTCCCGATGTGTCTCTTCCGCTGCAACTGAGCACAGGGCCACAGGACTTACAGCCTGCCCGTGGGGGGTGGGGGGTGCCCAAAGGGGTGGGGGAGGGTTTGGGGTAGGCAGAGAGCACATCTTAGGATTTGCTTGCCCCCCCACTCAAAAATAAGTGTTGAACACTTGTCTTTGAATTATTTTAGTTCTCTTGGAAACCTGTGGCAGGTGAGAAAACCGAGACCAAGAGAGAAGTGATTTGCAAGGACCTACGATGAGCTCAGAGACCTGGATCCAAATCCTGGTTTCCAAGCCCTTCCTCTCAAATCTTCTCCTATCTAAATGCCCCCAAATGTGACCCTCCATTAAATAAACAATTTCTACTCCACGTATATTCATGTTGCTCAAAAGAACAGATGGTCTTATGAAAAGAGAAGAAAAGAAAAAGCCACCAAGAACAGGGGAAAGTGTATTTCCATTTTTCTCAAGTACCCCTTTAGCACCCTGGGCTGGGGAAGTGGGGTAAGGCAGATGGCCTAAGGCAGCTCGGGTCAAGGTGACACATTTCTTAGTTCAGTTCCTGGAACATGGTGCCTGCGCCTCCTCGACTCCAGGACTTTGCAGAAGCTGGTGTGAAACATTCCGAGCCTCCTGCCAGCTCCTTTGCAGCCTGTCTTGAAAGCTCTTCCTTACCCCCGATCGGCCAGATCTCAGTGCCACCACCTGACCCCATAACGCCCTTCACTTCCCACAAAAATCCTAGCTCACCTTTTTGGCTCTTGCTATGTATCAGAACCTATCCCTGTGAGTCCCTCCTCCACTCTCACCCACGAGGTCACGCCATTACTATCCTCACTTCACAGAATGAAGTGAAGGTTTCCCAGGGCCCTCTGTTGGAGGAACTGGATGATTTCGGTGCTGTATCCCAGGGCCCAGCACCAAGCCTGGCGTGGTAGATACTGAACAGAGGTGGGTGGGGGCACAGGTGGACAGTGAGAGGCAGGTGGTTGGGTGCCAGGCTACCTGCTGGGCGTCCCCTTCTGTGTAGGGCAGCTTGGTGGACACGTGAAACATGATCTCCTTGTTGCGGAAGTTGCAGTACACAGACTCGGTCCCCGTCTGCCCATGGGTCACGTCCAGGCCTCCTCGGAACCTGCCCCAGGGCCCCCCAGGCCACGGCTCAGTCTCAGCCCCGGCCAGGCCTCCATGGGGCCAGGACGGGGGCTCCCTCCCTGCCCAGGTGCCTGGGTCGGCTCAGCTGTGTGTGTCCACCCCAGCACTCACCCCTTGAAGTCCTGCAGTTTGACCTTCTGACCCAGGAACTCCAGGAACTCCACGAAGGCTGGGCTCTCCTCGTTGGTACTGAAGAGTTCTTCCTCTGAGGTCTGGGAACCAACCACAGGGGCCATGGTCACCGAGCTGGGTCTGAGCTGCCCCGCCCCCAGCCCCACTCACTCCCAGTGGGGGACAGTCCCCTGGCAGGTCTGAGGTGCCAGACGGAGGGCAGGGGGTGGGGGCAGGTGGGAGGCACACACCTGCCCGAGCTTCTGATAAATGACTCCAAACTTGAAGTTATTGCTGATGACATGCTCATCAAAGGTGACGATGAGCCTGGAAGCCTGCAGGGGCATGGGGGGACAGTGGTGACTGGACTGCACTTACAAGTTACCCTTCTCTGAGCAGCACATGTCCAGTGCCACACCTGGCGCCATATGTAACAGCCTCAGCAAGCCCAAAGGGACCCTCAGGCTGCCTGGGCTTCAGAGAGCTTTGGCAATGTGTCCCCAGCCAGCAGCCTGCAAGTGTGTGCAGGGTGGGACTTGACCCCGGTCTGCTGGGTGCCTGGGCTTTGCTATAAGCCCCCCAGCCTATCCCGGACAAAGATGCCCCACTCTACGCCAGAACGCCCACCTGTTCCCTGGGTCCCCTGCAAACCCACCTCATCCTTCTAGAATATCCAAGTCCTACTGGTGGGCTGTGGGGCCTTGAGCAGCCCCTCCCCACCCTGGGCCTCAGTTCCCCTTCCATAGTCGAGAGGTGGGACCTGATTTCTGAGACCTTATCCATCCTTCAGGACATCTTTCCCAGACCATGACACCCCGCAGGGACCTCACCCTGCTCCAGGATCCAGTCAGGGCCCCAGGGGTTTACATGTCTTCAAGTCCCACCTCTTCCAGGAAGCCCCCCTGGCTGGCTGCAAACAGAAGCCTCTGTCCCTATCCCCACATGGCCACAGCACCTGGAACTAGCAGGCCCAGTGGGGAGAGCAGCTGCTGTGGACGGCAGCATCTCCACAGGTGACCATGACCCCTCTGGGGTCAGAAGTCAAAGCCAGTGGTAGTCTGGAGACCAGCTGCCCTTAGGAGGGTCCCCAGACAGCAGTGAGAGTTTCCCAACATGAGTGAGACCTGCCTCCAAGGCAACCCTGGATTCAAATGAAGCCTTCCGTATCTGCTGTGCATCCTTAGGTAAGACCCAGAGCTCTCTGTGCTTTCTGTTCTGCAAACTGTGGACTTTGCAGAGAAGACACGAGGATCAAATGAGAGGACTTGAGGGAAATGGCCAGCACACAGCAGGTCACCAATAAATGCTCAGCTCCGGGGCACCCACCCTCAGTGATCAGGGCCCAGGTCCGGTCATACCTTGGGGTAGAGCACAGGGTAGAATCGATCCACATTGACGTCTTCACACACCAGCTGCAGGAGGCAACAAGGAGGGGCGTGAGGTGTGGCCAGGCAGGAGGGAGAGGGCCTCCTGGCCTCACAGGCCAGCTCTGGGAGGACAGCAGCAAAAGGGAGAGGGAAGGCTGTTCTGGGAACAACTGAGGCTGAAGCAGGACCAGGGCTCGTGGCTATTCAGAACTGGACTTGGAAACTGGGGTCCCCCGATATCTGAGCGTGCTGCGAAGAGCCTGCGGGAGCAGGTGGGAAGCAGGAGCGCAGGGGGGCTGTGGCACTCGAAGCAGAAGCGGAGGGAGTGCTGGGGCCCAGCCGCCACCCAGCCCTGTGTCCCCTCGGGCAGGAGCCAGTCACAGGAGGCCTGGGAGCAGAGGCCTTACCTTTGCCATCTGGACCACATTAGGGAACTCAGTGAGGCAGGAGATGGGGATGACATCGTGGTATGTCCGGCACTTGGTCCTGGGAGGAGAAAGCCCACGGTGAAGGGCTGGGCAGTGCGGGGAGCCCTCCAGCCTCCACACCAAGACCAGAGAGGACAGACTTCAGGGAGGACCACAGGCAATGATGGCATCAGGCCTGGCTGGGGCACTCACTTGCTGTGTGACCTCAAGCAAATCCTGCCCTTCTCTGGGCCTCAATTAGAAGAGTGGATAAAATGAGATGGGCTTTTGTAGACCCCAATCTTCCCTGCTGTCTTGGGGTCCCTCACACTGTCCTCACCTGAGCAGTAGCCGCAGGTGCTCTTGATCCCCAATGACATCATACTTGAGTGAGAAGACCAGGTGGCCGAGGGCAGTGTCCAGTGAGTAGTAGTTGAAGTGCTCCTGTGGCGGGGGAGGGGGGGAGTGGGCAAGGCTGAGCTGGAAGCTTCTGGAAACCAGAAGCCAACTTGCCCCCAGATGGGTCCCTCACCAAGCAGCAAGTGTTGTGGCCAGTAGCCGGCTCCGCTTCAGACAGGTCTGTCACTGGCTGGGTCACCTCACCTCTGTGCCTCACCTTCCTAATATATAAAGTGGGAGTGACGCCACCTACCTGGATCAGGTGGCAGGGACTGAAAGCGACACCACCTGGCAAAGACGCAGTGTTCCGGAGCGTCTGTAGTGACTTTTGCTCTCTGGCTCCGCATTAAAGTCGGGCCACACTGCTCCTGCATGCCTGTCACCGGCCCTTCCCTTTCTTGGGGAAGCACACAATAGGTGCTCAGTAAGAAAAACCAACTAGCATTAGCACGGCCCTGGGTTCCAGCCAACCAGCTGATTGCCAACCCACGGCTCTATGGCTCTGTGGCCCCGGCCAGGACCTATGGGAAACAGGAAGCGGACCACTCTCACACACACATGGCAGCTGACCAGGTGGGTCCCACCCTCCTGCCTCCTGAAAAGAGGGATCGGCAGGGAAAGACACCCCAGAGGGCATGAGGGGTGGCGGCTTCAGGTGACACCAGAAGGGAGCTGGCTGACGGCTCCAGGTGGAGAAGTCGGAAACCAAGTGCTACAAGTGTGGCAAGGTGCCACCCCAGCCTGGCTCCCGGCTCCCTGCCAGTCCCAGCCCTGGGTGGAGCCGGCAGTCCAGCCACACCCACCCGGGGATCAACCTGGAAGTGAATCCTGTTTCTACATGAACCCTGGTGTTCAGCAGCCCGGTGGGGAAAGGGGGACAGGGGATTGGCCCCACAGATCTGCAGTTCAGGGACAAATGAGTGGACAGGGGCAGGGAGTCCACCCAGCACTGCCTTGCCCCGAGGAGCAGAAACCCCCAAATGCTCAGCACTATCCCCTGAGGAGTGGCAGGCACCTGCAGGAAGGCCAGTGGCTGGGGAGTTTCTTTGGACACCTGCCTCCAAAGCCCAGAGGAGCCCAAGGGACACAGTGAAGGAGGGACTCAGGGCCCAGGACAGCAATGCCCACAGTCACCCTCACCACCTTCCTCTCCCAGAACAGGCTCAGTGCCCGCACACCTGGCTGCTTCCCAAGGCACCCCATCTGGAGTCCGGAAATAACCCTGCCTCTCTGCCAGGTCAGAACCCTGGAGCCCTGTCCCCTGTCCTGCTGACCTAACCCCAGTCTCTGTGCCTCTGACTGCCACCTGTACCTCTTCAAATCTCGCTGCGCTCAAGGCCCGGCACCACCATCTGCGGCTCCTCACTGCTTTGGCAACCTCTCCCGAGTGCCAACATCTGCTCTTCCCTGGATCCCGCCTCTGCCAGACCCAGCCAAGAGCCTCTGGCGGAGGCCACCTCTGGCTGAGGCCACCTAGGGTGCAGTTCTCTCCACCCACAGGGCTCAGCGGAAGACAAATCCCTCTGCGCTCTGCATTTGTCCCAGGGGATGGCTCCTGAGCCCCGCCTGCTGGGTGGACCCTCCTCCAACCCAGACAGTTAGCACCTGTGTTTCCCAGGGTCAGGCCAGTGCCCTGGGCCCAGGCTGGGGTCACGCAGCTTCTCAATCCCCCCAAAGGGCCACCCCCTCCTCCCAGGGTGGAGGGTAAAGAGAAGGACACACACTGCTAGGAGCCCAGTCCTCGGCAGTGCGGCAGTGCGGCAGTGCGGCAGGTCAGCCAGGGTGGCTGCAACTCTGGGCTCAGTAACTGCAACCTTGACCAAGTCACTTCACCTCTCTGAGTTTCAATTTCCTCTTCTGTAAAAACAGGATGATCTTGACCTCACAGAGGGATTAGGAAGAGGTAATAACAGCTATGGCTAATTGCTTATTTACTATGCGACACGCACGGTTCTATCTGCCTTCTCTGGCAGCACCGAGGAATGAACCCCAGGGCAGCTCTACCACAGAGCTACCTCCCCAGCCCTTTTTATTTTGAGACAGGATCTTACTAAGTTCCCCAAGCTGGCCTCGAACTTACAGTCCTCCTGCCTCGGCCTCCCAAGGGGCTGGATTTACAGGTGTGTGCCATCACACCTGGCTCTATATGTTTTAAATGTACTTTTATTATCCCCGTTTTTATAGACAAGGAAACAGACTCCAGAAGGCTAAATAACTTGCCCAAGACGACACCATCAACAAAGGGAAGAGCCTAGACCTGTGCCTGGGCCAGGAGGCTCACACCTGGGGTATGCTCCGCCGTTCTGTCTGTGACCCCGCATGCAGACAGCACTGCCATGGAGCCTGACTCCCAGGAGGCCTGAGCAGGGGACCACCTCTCCGGTTCCCATGGCTCCACCCAGCAACTCTCAAGAACACCGTGAGTGTCACTCTGACAAGCTCCTGCTGGCAGGGTCCCTGCTCTGGGGCTGTGGTCAATCCAGGACCAGCCATCACGTGACACTGTCCTCCCAGCCCCACCCCAAGCTGCTCAAGGGCGGGCAGAGCCTGTTTTGTTTGCTGCCTTCTGCAAGATGCGAGAGCCCGGCACACAGCTGGAGCTCATTATTTGCTCACCTGAGGAGCGCTTACTTTGTTCCAGATGCCATTCAAACCACCTTATAAGCATGGTCTGTTGAAACCTCACAACAGCCTCGTGAGGTGGGTGTCATTATCCCCATTTTTATAGACAAAATCTGAGGCACACGGAAGCTAAGCAGCTCGCCCCGTGCCTGTGTAGCAGGTGGCAAAGCCGGGGCCCACCCCCTGGTATCTCTCTTGTTAACCGCCATGTCATCCCACCTCCTTTTGCAATAGATGTTTGTTGAATGGATGAATAACCCCACACGCATGCTCCCTGAGACTCAGGACTCTGGGACTGTCACCCACCCCATCATGAGGGCGCTCTTCCTGGGCCCATCCTCCCATGAGGCTGGGCTGTGACAACCCCAGCCAAACCCCAATACCAGCTGGCCACCCACCTTGCCAAGAAAGTGCTTCCGGTAGACGCGGGCTGTGGGGTTACACTCCAGCTTCACCTTGGTGGTGGGTGACTGCAGTGGCTCTGTCTCGGGGATGCTGGTGATTTCATGGTTGGTGCCCTCGATCCAATAGCCCCCAAACTGGGGCAGCAGGATGAGGGGGAAGGGCCCTTCTCGCCCCAGGACCTGAAGAGGGACTCAGCTGAGAGCCACCCACACAGCACCTTGATGGGGGCCTCAGGACACCCCCCCAGCTCAGACTTGGGCCCCTTCTGTCATGGCAAAGGAATACTATGGACTGGCCAGAGCTGTGTGGACTCCAGGGTGCACATCCACTCTCTCTGGGTACCTGCTCCAGCCCTTTCCCTCCCCAACCCGACAGCACCGAGCCCTCTGTCCCAGACTCAAAGGATGGGAGTTGGGGGCAGGTAGGAGAGGGGGACACATGGCCTTGACCCAGGAGGTGGAAACGTCTGGCTCAGAAGCCAGGCAAATCAGTCCAAATCAGTCCAAAGTCTTGGGCCTGTACACTGAGCAGCCCAGCAGAGCCTGCAGCCAGGCCCCTGGGAGGGAGGACCTGGTGTCCAGATGCCCTTCACAAAGGCCTCCCTGGGCTGGGGAAGGGTGGCTTGGGGGTCCAGCCAGGTACCTCATGGACGCTCGGGTAGGGAATATAGTCCTCCTCTGTCTGCAAAAGACAAGCGGGGGAGAGGCACGGCTGGGTGGTATCCCCACCCTCCTCGCCTCCCAAGCTCCCTGGGATCATGGCCTCATCCCCCAGCTTACAGATGGGGCAGTGACTTGCCCCGGGGGACCCTACAAGGCCAGCTCAGAGGCAGGCCAGGCTGAGTGCTGGGTCTTCTGGGTTCACTGACTAGGGAAAGGAGGCTCTTGCCTCCCCGGAGGAGAACTCTGGGCCACCAGGAGGCCTGGAGGACACAGGGTGCTGCGCCTCACACCACTTCTTGGTGCAGCCAGGCAGGTGGCACCGGGGACTGGCATCCTCATGCTCCCAGATGACCAGAGGCCGCCGATCTGAGCACCATACTCTGAGACCCCTGGCCCTGAAGAAGCATCTGGCTTGCTGCCCAGGAGCCTGCTTAACTCTGGGCCCACTCCCCCAAGCCCAGCCGTGTCTTCTAGGGCCATTCGGCCTTCTCGGGTTGATGGGTCCCACATCACCAAGAGCCAATGCCCCTCCTGGGTGAGTCTTTCTGCAGCTGCGGACAGTAGAGGGTCAGGGAAGCTGCCTGGAGAGGCGACCAAGGGCAGCAGGGCGGTGGGCAGGGAGGGGCTCCAGGACTCAGAGTTCTTGGGGCAGTGGCCACCCAGGGCCCAGCACAAGGCACACAGTAAGACCCCTTCGCAACTGGGTGGCTGTGGCGCCACATGGAGCCCCTCCCCCAGCCCGCAGGGGGGACCTCTGCTGACCTCTGCTCCAGAGGTCAGGCTGCTTCACCTACTTTGAGGGGTGGCGGGAAGGAGCATCGCTGTTCGTCCATCCTGCTTCCCTGAAAGACAAGGCATCACCCATTACACCCCCACCTGCTGCCAGGCACCCTTCCATGGAAGGCCGGCTCTCCTGCGCTCCTGCCCATGTGGAAGGGAAGCCCTGGGAGAGCCCTGGACGTGGGGAGCAGGACGGGTACTCCCAGGGTAGGGTGCTGGCCAGCTCATGCCTCAGGCCCCTCTGAAGAGCCAGCCCAGCAGGGAGGGGCGGGGGCTCTGTTCAGGAATGCACGTGCTGCTGGGAGTGGGGGCAGGGGTGCGTGCGCAGGCCCATGTGTGAGCGTGGGGAGGGGGCCACTGCATCATCCAGATACGTGGGGAGCAGGAGGAGGTGGAGACGGAGAGAGGCCGGGAAACAGGAGCGCAGGAAAGAGCAGGGCTGGGGAGGGTGAGCTGACGAAGGCTCCTGAGGCTTCTGTGAGCCACCCCCACGCCACCCCCCCCCACCTCCCCCGACACACGCCCACACAAGACACAGACAAGGGCCTGGGAGACCAGGACTGGATGAAGGTGGCAGGGGTGCGGCAGGGGCAGAGCGGCTCCCCAGGCTGCCCGGATCCTTAACAGCTCCCCACAGCAGCGCAGCTCTGGCTGACAGGCACCCTGGCATCTGTCCCCTCCGTCATTCTGCCTGGGGTCCAGCACAGCTGTGATGCCTCTTATGGGGTGAGGGTGAGCTGAGCTGATGCAGCCCTGCTAGGGACCTACACAGGGAAGGCAGCTGGGAGCCTGGGTGGGTCCCCAGGTAAGAGAGGTCCCCTCTTCTACTGGACCCCCAGACAGAGGACTCTGGACAAAAACTGCCACCATCTTCTCCTGGCATGGTCTATTGAAGACTCCTGGCCTGTCCTCAGAAAGATGTAGGGCTAGAAATACTGAAAGGGCCCCCACTTCCAACCCAGCCAGCTCGGTGGCTCCCAGGGCTGGGGTCTCCAGCGTCCTCACCTGCATCTTTTCAATCATCTCAAACAGATCTGTGTTCTGCAACAGAGATGGGAAGGCAGGTCAGTCCCGAGGTGGCCCAGCTGGCCCTGTCAAGCCCCAGGAGTCTCCCCAGCCCCAGCCTTCCTGATCCCCTCAGTTCTGACAAGCCATCAGGGCTCGAGGCAGCAAGAGGGGGTGCAGCAGGCATCATAGGAGGGGGCTGCGGCACAGGACTTGGCCAACTGCCAATGGAGGTGAGTCCACACCCAGGTCCTGGGTCCCAGGGAGCCCACCCCATTCAGTCCTTTTTTCTAGGGAGGAGGCTGTGACCCTTGGGGAGGGACAGATCTCCTTCATGCCACTGCAAGGTTGGCACTGCCAGGACAGGCCCCTGAGAAAAGCCCCTGGTGTCAGCCCCAGAGATGAGCCCAGGTGGAATGAGAAGGAAGGGCCATGCTTCCATCTCCAGGAGGAGGACAGTCAACCCAGGCCACCGGCCACTGCTCACACAACCCAACAGTGTGGGGTGGGGGCCCTGCTGGAGAGGATGCTGAGGTGCCCGATGGCCTGACACCTGTGCCTGAGCCCACTGGCACCCTCTCATGCCCAAGCCAGCCTGTCCTGAAGCTAGCCAGGGCACACTCAGGGTTAATCAGCATCTGCCAGCTGCCTGGCAGCATGGGCCTCTCCAGCGCCAACTCCCTGAGAACCTTCCTGGAAGGCGGCAAGGATGCCCAGTGGCAGCTGGCAGGGCTGGGGCTGGGGCTGGGAAACCCCCAGAGTCTCTGGTGGTGCCCCTCCCCCAACCCTTCCAAGGCTCCAACAGTTCCTGCTGCCCAGTGGGGGCACTGCCTGAGCTCACAGACCCATGCTATGGGGTTGTACAGCAGGAAATATGTGCACACGTGCACACATACACACACAATCTCTCCCTCTCCTGCTCAGACTCACAGAGGCTTGACACCAATACTTATTCTCCCAGTACACTACATGTTTTGTGCACACACACACACACATGCACAGTGTCTAGGTACAATGATTCTTAGAGCTCTATATGAACACACAAATACACATATTGACATCCTGAATTACACAACAGCACACCAATTTACACACACACACAAATCCACGGACCACAAGAGATACACAGACTAGTGCAAACCCACACCTGTGCAGTTCTGCACCCTGTACCGCACGTGACGCAGCATGAACATTACAAAACCACCCTCCTGTCTGAGACCAAGACACAGTGACATGCACTCTGGGGGACAGGTTGTCAGGGACACAGAATCCCCTTTCCCCATCTGGCCACACACGCTGTGCAACAGACACAACAGACCCCATCCCACAACAGGCATGAGAGTTCTGAGCAAAGGAGGCTGCACAGGGCAACTCCAAGGTCATTAATGTCCACAGGAGGGACACAGCCCTGCAACCCCCCATCCACCCAAGTCACCTCCCTCCCCCCACGTACACACACACACACACACACACACACTGCGCTGAAGGTCACGAGACACAAACACCACATGTGCAAGCTCTGAAGCCTGCCCACAGAACAAGACATCTTCTGAAGTCCACCTCAGGAGCCCCCAGGAGACCACCTCATGGTCACACAGCCACACCCAAGACCTGAGTGGAGAAGAGATGATTCCATGGGCAGTTACCAGACACTCCTGTCAACTCCACACTCTGTGGGACAGCAACACTGGCATCTGGGCAGAGTCAGACAACCTCCCATTCCCCTGTGGTTCCAGCAGTTGGGGGCACTTTAATGACCTCCAGGGACCCCACTCAGGGTGACCTAACAGGCAGGACAATGAAATGCAATGCCTTGTTGCACTAGCGAGAATCACTCACATAAACACTGACACATGGTACTGTCACCCTGAGTGTACACAGCAACAAGTGACACCTACAGTTACAGCCGCACAGGCGGCAGCAGCAGCAGACGCCCTGACACATGGCAATGGAAGGCTGGGAACGATGTGGCCGCGATGGGGGTCCCCACCTCACTTGGGCACCACCACAAAGTTACACTCTGACATTAGGATCCCCAAACCTGGCAGGGAAGACATAAAGTGGCCCCGATGGCAGGACTCACACGCAGTGCCACTGTACCCCGGGGCCACAGTTTCGGGGATAGCAGCAGGAAGAACCCCAGGCCCGGACCCCCGAGCAGGGTGCGCCCTTGGCCGCCGTGGCCGGTGTCACCCGCTGGGACGGAGCCTGCACACCCGCCCTGCCTCGGGCACAGCTGCCGCGCTCCAGAGAAGTCGGGCCGACCCGGGCCCAGGATCCCCCTCCGCCGGGACGCCCCCGCCCGGTCCTCACCTGCCAGCCGGCCCCCACCGGCAGCGAGCCCCTCCGAGGACGGCCTTGGGGCGCTGGGGGCCGCGGCTGCGCCATCCCGAGCCCGGCCCGGCCCGGCCCCCGGCCCGCCGGCGCTTCGGCTGGCCCGGCCGGCTCCGGCCACGCGCGCCCCGGCCCGGGCCCCGCAGCGCCAGG